AGCCAAAGTAAAATAAAGCAAAATATTCAAGGAACCAACAGTGAAGGGAAGGAAACTAGGACTCAGATCAATGATTTGGAACAAAAGGAAGAAATAAACATCCAACTGGGACAGAATGAAGAAACAATAATTTTAAAAAATTAGGGCAGGCTTAGCAACCTCTGGGACAACTTTAAATGCTCTAACATCCAAATCATTGGGGTGCCAAAAGGAGAAGAATAAGGGCAAGAAATTGAAAACTTTTTTGAACAAGTAATGAAGGAAAATTTCCCTAATCTGGCAAAGGAAATAGACTTCCAGGGAGACCAGGAAGCTCAGAGAGTCCCAAAGAAATTGGACCCAAGGAGGAACACACCAAGGCACATCATTGTTAAGTTACCCAAGATTAAAGATAAAGAGAGAATCTTAAAAGCAGCAAGAGGAAAGGAGAGAGTTACCTACAAAGGAGTTCCCATAAGACTATCAGCTGATTTCTCAGAAGAAACCTTATAGGCAAGAAGGGGCTGGAAAGAATTATTCAAAGTCATGAAAGGCAAGGACCTACATTCAAGGTTACTCTATCCAGCAAAGCCATCATTTAGAATGGAAGGGCAGATAAAGTGCTTCCCAGATAAGGTCAAGTTAAAGGAGTTCATCTTCACCAAGCCCTTACTATATGAAATGTTAAAGGGATTTATCTAAGAAGAAGAAGAAGATAAAAAATATGTACACTAAAATGACAGCAAACTCATGATTATTAACAACCACACCTAAAACAAAAACAAAAACAAACTGAGCAAACAACTAGAACAGGAACAGAACCACAGAAATGGAGATCACATGGAGGGTTAGTCAACAGGGGGAGTGAGAGGAGAGAGAGGGGGAAAAAGGTACAGAGAATAAGTAGCATAGATGGTAAAGTAGAAAATAGATAAGGGGAGGGTAAGAATAGTATGGGAAATACAGGAGCCAAAGAACTTATATGTATGACACATGGACATGAACTAAAGAGGGGGAATGTGGGTGGGAGAGGGTGTGCAGGGTGGAGGGGGGATGGGAGGGGAAAAATGGGACAACTGTAATAGCATAATCAATAAAATATATTTTAAAATAAAAGAAAAGAAAAGAACTGTCATCGAGTGAGAATTAATGCTGACATTTTAGATAAAGAATGATCCTTTGAAGTCCACTCAGGATCTGAGAATTATACTTATATTAAAATTTTGTGTAATAATTATATAAAGTAGACTATACAATTAAAATTATATTATTATATCAAAGAATATAATTTCTATTTTTCCACAGCATTCCATTTCCTGAACACTGTATAACAATTTAATTAACAAAGTCTTTTTAAACTTTTTTTTTTAAATAAAGCAAGAAGTTGAATAAGCAAGGGGGCATGTCCTTAAGAAAATGAAAAATCATAATGGAGACCAAGAGTAAGGCATTGGACTTTTTTTTAACATAAAATATTAATTGTTCTATAGTAGAATTGTGTCATAGGCTGATTTTGACTCCTTTATCAACATCTCAGCTCCCTGGATACTTTGGTTTGGACAGTTGGCCTTATTACATTGTTGGGTTAAAAGTTATCCAAAGGTGCTATTCAAAAGTACTTTCCTCTCCACTCCATATAGGTCACCTCCTCTGAGCACTTTTGTCTATGTGTATTCTGGAGGTGCTGCTAAGCTCAGCAACAGCATTGGGAGATAAATCTGAAAAACCTTTTCACTCGGGTTAATTATTGAATAACTTTCAGTTTCCTTCAGTCAGAGACATTCCTCCTTATAAAGAGGTACAGATTACATTCTCCAATCAATGACTGTAAGTCTGTCATGTCATCAGTTACTAGGAGAAACTGCTCCTTGAAGTGTCCCCAGAATCACAGCATTTTCCAGAATTAAAACACCGGAAAGATCACAGTGACTTTAATTGTGAGAAGTTAAGTAATTTACCCAAATCTACAACACTAAAGTATGATGCAATAAAGGCAAAATTGAGAGTCTCCTAACTTGCAATCATCTTCTTCTCCATTGCCTAAACTCCTAAACATACTCATACACACATTTGTCAAAATGGCTGTCTCTGCAAGTCTGAGAAATGAATATAGTTCTAAAAGGCCCCAACTTGTACACACAGCATTGGCCAGCACAGAACTGGCTCACAACAGGGGCCCAATAAAATGTTTCAGAGACAACTGAATCAAACCTTTAAAGCACTAAATTAAAACAATCTTTTTAATACAGGAAATTCAAACTTTCAGAAGAAGACCTTCATACTGAATCTCTGACCAGCATTTGATGACACCATTCATCTCTCATACTGATTGGTTCTCAACACTGAAATTACCCAATCCAGGAACAAAGAAATGAGTTCCTTGGTTGGTATTATTTGGGATGTGGGTGGAGAAAGGTCATATTGCTCATTGAGTAAGACTTGCCTGCTCTCTGCACCCTGTCCTCTCCATTCTCCAGCATGGTGCGTCTGTGCTTCCCCGGAGGCTCCTGGATGGCAGCTCTGATGGTGATACTATTGGTACTGAGCCCTCTCCTGGCTTTGGCCAGGAACACACCACGTAAGTGCATATCTTGGGTGTGGGGGTGGGAAATTCTGGGGTGACAGAAGGAAGAGATTCACTTTATTACTGTGTCTAAGCTATGTCCCTTAAAAATTGTGACATTTTCTTCAGTGACCACCTGTCTTTATTGCATGGATCCCCAATTCTTTCCACAACAAAGGGAGCCTGGGTGCTTGCCCTCCACCAGAACTGTGTAAGGGGCTCCATGTACACAGGTCATTTCTTCTCGGCTCTCCTCCGGTAAAGCCTCTCCAGCCTGGTGTCCCATTCCCTCAGGGTCTTGAGAGTAGTTTGAATGATATCAAACTAATTCCCATCTAGTGGTTCCATTCATTATGCTGAGTTATTTGAAGAAGAGAAAAAGTTTCTCTGAAATTTTATGGAGAACCAAAACAAATTAGTAGGGTCTCTCTTAGAAAATCCCATGTTATGTCCTCAACAGAAACTGTAATGTAGGTGTCTCTCTAATGTGTGAGGGGCCTCCGCCACTCTTTCCTTTCTTTTCTCCCTGAACCCCAGTGTTTATAAGATCTGTGTTCCTATAAGGGAGGTTGTCTGGCAGAAGTTGGGGTTAGTGCTCTCTATTCCCCTTGTGGAAAGCCTCCTGGAGCTGAAGCAGAGATTGCTGGTGCTTGGAACGACCCTACAGATAAAGAGCACTTGTGGGGTGTTTTTTTGATGCCTTAAAGAACTCAAGGCATCTTCTGAACACCTGTCCAGGTTAGCATCCATCGTGAATCTGTTTTGAACCTTCCTATACTATCAGTTTCTCCTACATCTCCCTTTGTCTAATCTGAGTCCACAGTGGTGATTAAACTAGTAGAGATAAACTGCATGAAATTCTGTTCCTTAAGTTAAAAAGAGTCAAATATTAGCAATTTCATAGGTTCAAATTATACACCTGGAGCAGGAGTATAGAGTATGAAGGCTGCTTTCATCCCATGGTGCTGAAAGTCAATAATCAAGTCAAGAGACATCATTAGCTTCCTGGACTCTTGGCCCCAAATGTCACAGGTCCATTCATCATGCCCACTGTTTTCCTTAATCAGCCACTTTTGGTTACCTCTACTTCCAGTTCTTCTCTATTCTTTTTTAAAAAAGATTTTATTTATTTTTAGAGAAAGGGAGGGAGAAAGTAAAGGAGAGAAACATCAGTGTGTGGTGGCATCATGTATGCCCCCATTTGGGGACCTGGCCCACAACCCAGGCATGTGCCCTGACTGGGAATTGAACTGGTGACCCTTTGGTTTGCTGGCTGGCACTCAATCCACTGAGCCACACCACCCAGGGCTCAGTTTCTCCCTATTCTTTCTCCACCTCATTACCATTCCTGAGATCCCAAAGTACTCACAGATCCTCAGCACTGGAACAGATTCATAGACAAGATAAAATATAGTGATATTTTCACTTTTTTAAAAAGTCACCCTCTCCTTACTGGCGAAAGTTTCTTCTAACAATAGAAAAAGAAAGAACTTTGTTTGAATTTCTCACAGAATGTATAAGGGATATAATGTGTCATCTGAAAAAAAAGAGTGTAGGAGCTTGAACCTCTTCCATTTTCCAGGATTCACACAATGATCAAGTCCCAGAAACTCAGTTCATTCACTTAGGTCACATATTTATCTGAGCAACTATTATACACTGGACTCTGTTGTAGGATCAGAAAATCCTATTTCAATATGATAGAAAGTCCCCTATTATCATAGAACTTAGCTAACATCAGGGGAGAAAGACAATAAATAAACCAATGACATTTAAGAAAGAAAAAAATTCAGCACAGAACTAGAGAGTGTTATGTTAAATAAAATAAGCCAGGTGGTGAAAGACAAATACCATATGATCTCACCTATAAGTGGAACCTAATCAATAAAACAAACAAGTGAGCAAAATAAAACCAGAGACATGGAAATAAAGAACAAACTGACAGTGACCAGAGGGGAGGGGGATAATGGGGAAAGAAGGGGAAGGGTCAAGTCAAGGAACACGTGTAAAGGACCCATGGACAAGGACAATGGTGGGGGGGGGGGAGGACTGAATGTGGGAGAGGGGGTACGGGCAGGGCATGGGAGAGTAATGGGGGGAAAATGGGGACAATTGTAATTGAACTACAATAAAAAAATAAAAAATAATAAACCAGAGTCATGCCAGAGAAAATGAAATTTACCTGACTTCAGTTCAGGTGGTTAGGGGAGCTCTCTCTGAGAAAGTGACATTTTTTCGAGGCCTGAATGATGAGGGAAGCTACCATGTGAAGATCTAGGGGACAAGAGTTCCAGAGAGAGGAGCAGAGAAGTGCCAAAGTGTGGGAATGTGTTTGCCATGTTTCAGGGACAGAAGGAAGGCTAGAGTGGCTCAGGCACAGCCAGCAAGTTGAAGAGTGACACTGAGACAGGAAGAGGGTGGAGAAAATGGGAGATAAATGATATTGGGCTCTAATGGCTGTGGTAAGAAATTTGAATTTTATTTGAAGAGACATGTGAATAAGGAGAGTGCAGTTATATTTATTTGAAAAACAATAACACCAGCTACCATGTATAGACTGGACTCTAGGGGTTCATGAGTGGAGTCAGCAAGGCCATTAGGAGCATGGATGAGTTCTCCAGGGAAGACATGCTTGGGGCTCCATTTCATGTGGTAGTGACAAGGACAGTCATAAAGACAAGGTGAGCAGATTTGGGGTAGATATTTTTATGACTTTTTAATGGATCAAAAGGGGGAGGAGTAGAAAATCAAGCTTATCCCTAAAAAGTTTGTCTTAAATAATTTGAATAAATTTAGTGGTACAGTTTATTGGGATAAGGAATACTGTAAGAAAATAATTTGAACTGGGTGGTTAGGAATAAATATTTTGTTTAAGTTTGAAAGGATTTTTTGACATTCATGTGGCCCTATCAAGAGGTCAGTTGAGTACAGGAGCCGAGAGCTCCAGCCAGGGCTGGGGGTACGCATGTTGGTGTCATTGACACATATGCTGCGTTAAAGTCCAGGAAAGTGGAGGAGGCCACACAGTGAGTGAGCAAGTGTGTGTGGCAGACAGGAAGATGGAAAGGGCTGAGCCCAGAGGACCAAGGGCTAGTGAGGCAGCCAAGGGTACTGAGAAGGGGTGCCAGCAGTGTTGAGGAAAACCAAGAGAGTGTGATGCATGGAGGTGAAGGGAAGCCAATTTTCCCAGAGGAGGGAGTGGTCAGATGTGGTGAGAATCACTAGCAGTTTGGGAAGCAAGAACATGCAGAGAAGTGAGCACTGGGTTTGGTGGATGTAACGTGCACAGTCAGTCAATTGTACAAGATGGAAACTGGATTGGACCATTTGAAGAGAGGATGGGAGCTGAAGACATGATGGATGGATTACAGGTGACTCTTCTGAGCAGCTGACCTCAGGGAGAAACTGGGCTCCAGGACCAGGGAGTCAGCTGGACCTAAAGCACAAAAACAAATGAGCCTCAGAAGAAGCTGGGAGGACGTGAGAACCGGAGATATTTAGTCAGCAGCAAGGAGCCACTAGAGTGGTTTCATATGCCCAGGTGACTGGTTATGCAAAAAGCCATTGATTATACAGCCAATATTTATTAGTGACCTAGAATAGACCAGTTATCACCCTAGATAATGAGGATGGAGGCATCAACAAAACAAATCTGGTCTCTATCAGCATGGAGCATCAGAACATTCTGTAGTGACTATGTACCAGACCTATAAATTTGAGTATGTAATCCTCATCACTATCCTATCTTATCTGCAGTAATTAAAAACATAATACTCTATGGAATCTAAAATTCAAAGTTTAAGTAACTCACCCAGAGTCACACAGTCAGTTGTAGAACATGGAGTACATAGTCTGACCCTCAGTGTCTAGAAAGCCCTCTCCTCTACATCAGCACACTCACATGAGGGTCGTGTGTGTCCCATTATTACATATAAGCCAAACTTCTGTCCTCATGTGTTCAAAATGATATTTAGTGATAAAATTAATTAAAGACAACTGCCAAATTATGAAGAAATTATTTTCTTTAGGAAATTAAAAAATAGAAAGATCTTGTGAGCTTGCATTCATAGGGGTTATAAGTATTAAAATAACAATGTGTTTATTGAGTACTTATTATGTGATCAGCACTATTTAATTTCACACTTAACAATATACTGCAAGGAATATACTATCACTAAATCTATTTTAGAGATAAAGAAAAAGAGGCCCATGGATGTTAAAATCTGACCCAAGTGGAAGAGCTAATGTTCAAATTTAGATTCTGTAATTCTAGAGTTTGGGCTTCTAACCACCACTAGTGAACAGTGGCTTGGCTGAGTCTGAATTACTGATGAAATTTCAGAGGTTCACATGTGCCAGTGTGTGTCTGAGGGTTGGGGGGTGGGTCAATGCAAGGGCTGGTAGTTTCAATGTAGAGGAGAAATTCACATTCATTTTGCATTTATAATGTTAAAAGTTCCATATGTGCTTGCACTACGTACAGACTGTTGTGGGCACAAGAGGAAGAACATAAAGAAGCGTTAAATATACTCTTTTTTCTGAGATTTTATTAGCAAGTTGGGCTAGGGTTGGCAAATAAAATACCAGATGCTCAATTAAATCTGAATTTCAGAGAACCAAGAATTATTTATCTGAAATACAAATTTAACTGGACACTCTATATTTTTATGTGTTATATTTGGAAACTTTAAGTTGGGTAGTGAATAGGGACCAACAGTGCTGACCACACAGGCTACAGTGAACAGCAACTTCACACATTTTTTCAACTTTCTCATGTGTCAGGAAGCACTGGAGAATTTGTGAATAAATGTGGTCTGACCACAGTGCCCTCCTTTCTGCCCTCATTTCTAAGTGAAGGTCTCTACTCAGAGCCTGGGAACCTGCTCATTTTTGCAAACTGTCTATATGAGAATGTCATCCTATTTTCTCCCTTTTTGAGGGGAAACAACTGTAAAAGGGAGAGTTCCACATCTGGCCAAGGTTGGTAATTTGGTGCCCTCTGGTATTATTGGGAGCAGGAGACAGTTAGAAAATGAATTAACTGGGACATTGAACAGGAATCAAATGGCTGTGGCTGTAGTTTTCTACTGTAGATAAATAGTGGACCAGCAGCAGAAAAATTAAAAATGAAGATGATGTGAAGGATACATTATATGACTTGGTGATTGGTTGACAAGGCAAAGAAACAGGTAAACAGGCCCTGAACAAATTTATTTTGCTAAAAATATTACTGCGTGCTGGGACCAGACTGCTAAAAATTAAAAATTTCATAGATTACCAAGATTTTCAACAGATATAATATTAATAGAACTTTCTGTGTAATTCTCAGCTGCTCTATAATTAGCAGTGGCTTTTTCACCACAGATTTTTCAGATGGTTCACACCAGTGGAGCTCACCCTGTGAAGGTTCACCACCCCTCCCTCCGCTTCCCACCCCTGGAACATCTGGCAATATCTGGAGCCAGTTTGGTTGTTACCCCAGGGGTTTCTTCTGATGACTAGTGGGTAGAGAGGCCAGGGATGCTGAGTACAGCCTACTGTGCACAGAACAGGTTGCCCACCCCCAACAACAAAGAATTATCTGATCCAAACATCAATAGTTTTGAGGTTGAGAACACTGCTTTACATTGGCTGTTTCTAGAAATTTTGGACTCACTATTTATACACACACTCACCTTCCAATTCAGTTCTTCATGGTTTATTTTAGCTCATTACACAGAGAGAGGTAGAGAGAGAGATGTATTAATTCACTGCTTCCTTGTTGAATCCATTCAATCAGTTGAAGTAAGAAATCTTCATTTTTATTTTTTACCTTATGCAATGTTTTTCAAAATTTCATCAGTTCTTGGTCATCGCGTCTCTAATTAACTTTTAACATTGATAAAAGCTACCAATGTTTTAAGTCACCAATATTTTGAGTAAAGTGTCTCAAATTTCTGCAGTAATTCTACTTTCTACAGTATTGATGAGATCAGAATCTTCCATTTATTTCTCTCACCTTTAACCACCGGTTTATTCTTCTGGTTTTCTGAGTTTTCTAGGTTTGGACATGCAGAAGAGATGTGGCCCTGCTGTGGGATTATGCTTATTTCTCCCTGAAACTCGTCCGCAGTTCCCCGTCACCTTCGGTGTGAGGTCCCATCCTCACTCACCCGCAGGCTCTGGGCACGGCCGCACCTGCCTGTCCCGTCCCGTCTCCCCCGCCTCCCTCCCGCCGTCTGCGCCCCCGGGAGCGGCTCTGCCCTGGTCCCCGGAGCAGGCTCACGGGTTCCGTCCGGCTCTGGCCCGAGCTGCAGCCTTTCCCTGGACTGCGCCTCCCCTTCCCCAAACCTATGCGGTCACCTGTGTTCCTCCAGCTCACGCCGACCCAACCGTGGTCTCACCTCCAGCGTCACCCCGAGGCCCCTTCCTGTCGCCCGAACTTAGATCCCGTTAGTGTCTCTCTTCCGGAAGCCCACGCTTTCCTGCTGCCGTTTCTCGCTCCCGCGGGAGTTCTCGGTGGCTGGGCCCGACCCCTAAGCCCCCGAGCGGCGGCGGCGGCCGTTTTCCTTCCGGATTCCCGGGGGCGGCGGGGCCGGGGCCGGTGCCGGCCCGAACCCTCGCGCAGCGCCGGTCCCGCGGCCCCGCGGGGAGGCCGAGGGGATCCGCGGCGGCTGAGCGCCCAGGGGTCCCCCCGCCCCCCCCCCCCCGGCCCCGGACGAGGGGCGACCCCGGAGCCGGCAGTCGGGGTGCCGGGGCCTCGTGCCCCCACGGCCGGGCGCCCGCACCGGCGGCGTCGCCGTCAGCCTCTAACCCGAGTGACCGGGTCGTTCTGTCCGTCCCCACAGCGAAGAATTTCGTGGAGCAGCATAAGTCCGAGTGTCACTTTCACCAACGGGACGCAGCGGGTGCGGCTCCTGCAGAGACACATCTACAACGGGCAGGAGATCGTGCGCTACGACAGCGACTGGGGGCAGTACCGCGCGGAGACCGAGCTGGGGCGGCCGGACGCCGAGTACTGGAACGGGCAGAAGGACTTCATGGAGCAGAGGCGGGCCGAGCTGGACACGGTGTGCAAACACAACTACGGGGTGTTGGACGGATTCCTGGTGCACCGGCAAAGTGAGCGCGGCGGGGGGCGGGGGTGTGCGCGTACGTGCGCATGCGCGTGTTTGTGGGCCCGCGAGCGAGCCCGCGGGTGACGGCTGCGCTCAGGGTCGCCGGGTGACGGCGGCCTGTGTGAGGGACACGGCGGTGCTGTCCGGTTGGGGTGAAGGTTCGGGGAGCAGAGGTGAGGGGTGAAAGGTCGGGGGGGGGGTGCTGCGAGGAGGGGACTCGCTGTCCGTCGTGGCCAAACCCTCCTTAACCCCAAACCCTGGTCAGGGCCGCGTGTTTGCTGCGCGAGCGTTTCACTGGGGAGGGGGGTCAGGCCGAGTTCTGGAGGGCGGGGCACTCCGACCTTTCCGAGGCTTAAGTGATTACAGAATCAGATCTTTAAATTGTAATTTTGTTACCTAACATATGGATGTTACTATTTTTGTAATGCTAATAGCACCATATTTAAGTAGTTACATATTATCTTTATAGAGCTGTGACAATTTACCTCACATTCTGAATTTTTAAAAATATTACCAAATACTGAAATTTTTAAGTATTTTATATCAACATATAAAATATATGAAATTGAAATTTTATATATTTTATTTTTAATTTGTACTTTGATTTCTAAGGTTCTTGAACATTTTTCACATATTTATTGGTTAGTTGTTACTCCTGCTCTAAGAATTGCCAGTTGTCTATCAACTCTGGGGGCCTGGTGTTTCTCTCAGTGGTTTTATGGGTTCTCCATGCAGTAGGGGGAACACATTGCTAATATTTGACTCAGCACTTTCTCCAATTCCTGGTTTGTGTTTTGTCTCTCCTTTATTACTTTCCATGTTAAGAATTGAAACACCTCTAATGTAATGAAATGGACTGCAAAGTTGTTAGCAATGATTTACTATCAATCTTAAATGTACCTATTTGTGGTGTAAAAATGTTCTCCCTAGGTTTCTTCTCCCCTACCTCTTCCTTCTCCTCCCCTACCTCCTCCCCTTCCCCTTTCTCCATTGTATTTATTGAGCTTGGCCTCAGGCAGGAAACGCACATATTAATGAGTCCCAGACCCTGCCCTGAGCTCAATGTCAGCTAAAAAGAGAGACAATTATAAAATAATAGCAATTCCAATAATAGATATGCTGCTTTTGAAAAGGAGAGGGCTTGCCCAACTGAGTGTAATTGTAAATATTTCTAGATGAGTGACTCTCCTTGCTCCTTCCCGTCTTCTCCAGGACTCATGCTTTTCTGGGACTCAGCTTATAGGGTCAGAGAATCACCTGTGTCTTTCCTGCTTCCCAGGAAGAACCAGTTCTGTGCTGTTCTCTGGCGTGTGTGTTGCAGTCCCAGGATTTCCTACCCTGTATCCCCATCTTCCCCAGTGTTCCCCAATTTATCCTCACTGCTTTGAATTACATTTTCTCTCCAAGTGAACAAGGGTAGTAAGTAGCTAACAAATATTGATGGCTAAGTTCCAGCGATTAGGTCCATTGATCCTCATATGTCCTTAAGAGGTAAGTTAGTGTTATTGTCCCACTTTATATGTGAGAAAGCTCAGAATGGAGGAATGTGAAAATTCTGCCAGGGTCAACCAGTATGAGGCAGAGCCTGGATTTGAACTCAGGCAGCCCTGCTTCAGAAATCACACTTTTAATTAATGCACTATATGCCTTGTGAAGAGTTGTAAACACTTCAACAATGAATAACTGTTTCAAGATATGAAAAAATCCACAAATGTCCTCCACCTCTCTCATGCTGGTGGGCCCATGCTGTAGGGATAGATTTAAGGCCCATGGCACTAACTCCTGCTGGGAGGGAGGCCTGCTGGAGACTGGAGCCTGGAGGCTGAAAGGCAGCCAGCCCAGGAGCCACCTCTGCGTCCCTCATGTTTCCTGGTCTTTTCTCTCCTAGCTGTGCCTACAGTGACTGTGTACCCTGCAAAGACGCAGCGCCTGCAGCACCACAACCTCCTGGTTTGCTCTGTGAATGGTTTCTACCCCGGTAACATTGAAGTCCGGTGGCTGCGGAACGGCCAAGAAGAGGAGGCTGGGGTCGTCTCCACGGGCCTGATCCGGAATGGAGACTGGACCTTCCAGATCCTGGTGATGCTGGAAACCGTTCCCCGGAGTGGGGAGGTCTACACCTGCCAAGTGCAGCACCTGAGCCTGATGGACCCTGTCACCGTGGAGTGGAGTGAGAAGTGTTCTGTCCCCACTCAGGCCTCACCCACCATGGGGGGCTTTGTTCATCCCTGAGTGTCAGGGTTCTCCCCTCCCCACACCACGTTATCATTTGCTCGTGTTCTCCCTTTCCACACAGGTCACGGGGGTGGGGGGTGTGTGGACCTGTGACAATTTCTATAAATACTTAGAGTCCTTGGGGAAGCTGTTGTTCCTGGCAGTCAGAAGAGAGGTTGTCTCTGTTTTGAACTTTCCCACGATGTCACAGGTCATGTTCCTCCTTGGCCCTGGGCACCAGTCCCCTGCCTTGGCAGGGGTGGTACTTCTGCCCTGTTGCTCTGAGTTGTCCAATGAGATCTGAGCAAAGCCACATCCTGTACAGCATAGGGACCTTCCTGACACGGGGAGAGTTCAGTCTCTGCTCTGCTGTCTATTAGCTCTGTCACCCTGGACAAGGACTCCACTTTACTGAGCCCTAGGCTCCGCATCCATCAGATACTGAAATAAGGCATCCATGGCCTTATGTCAGGCCATGATGTTTCAATGAGTTCAGTGCCTGAACCTCATGTCTCCTCAGTGTGATTTTAAAGCCTCTTTCCAGAAATGGCCAGTTCTTCTTGTTCTTCTAGGGAAGGCTTCTTCTGACCCTCAAAGCTCTCAGTCTCAGAGTCTCGATCAGAGAAGTTGGGTTTGGGATAAAAATCACTAAAACCAGCTTCTTCTCTCAGGGGCACAGTCTGAATCTGCACAGAGCAAGATGCTGAGTGGAGTTGGGGGCTTCGTTCTGGGTCTGCTCTTCCTTGGGGCAGGGCTGTTCGTCTACTTCAGGAATCAGAAAGGTAAGGAACCTGTGGGCAGCTGAAGGTCCCCACAGACTGTACGGGGGAAGAAACATGACTTTGCTCACGTTAGTTCTCTGTATGTCAGTGGCCCCATACAAAGCCTTTCTTTCCCTGGTTAATCTCAAATTTCCTGGAAACCCAGAAAAAATAGTTCATGGTTAGTTATGGTTGAAACAAGGAATTATGGCCTATAGAGGTAAGAGAAGGGTTAACATCCATGAGTGTTTGGGCCAAGATCCTGGAATAAATGAAGGAACAGACACTGCAGTTAATAAAATTACACCAGATTTGTGCGACAGAAGCTTTGTGGGTCACTGCTCTCAGTTTCTGCTCTCCTCTCTACTCTGGGGGGTTGTGGTACTAGAGAAAGGTCAGGTGGTCTGGGGCTGGTGACATTGTGTTTGGGGACAGATTTACCTTCATGTCTTTTAAGTCTATATCTTCCTTCTCTTTCTTAGGACACTCTGGACTTCAGCCAACAGGTAATGCTCTTTAACTGTATTTTAGAGACATATTCGGTTTCCCTAGAACAGAATGTAGAGGTGACTGAAATAATGGGAATGTCTTTGAATCTGACTTCTGGTCAGGCAGTTTACACTAAACTTCTCACCACTTAATAAAAGGCCTGCTCTAAAGCAGCTTTGGCTCAGGGTGACCTGAGAACTTTTCTTTTTATTTTGGAACTTCCTTCTAGGAGGCTCTAGAGAAAGGAAAAAAGCTGCTTGTTGGCTAGGTCTGGGAACATCATTCTCCTCTGTCTGCAGGACTCCTGAGCTGAAGTAACAATGGTGACGCTGGTGACACTCAAGGAAGAAAGAACCTTCTGTCCCCTTCTTCGCTTCTTTGCAGCATGAAAAGGTTTCCTGCTTGGTCCTTATTCCACAAAGAGGGCACCTCCTCAGGATCTGCTTCGGTCCTGGTTCAGTGACCCTGCAGAACATGTCCTCCCTGCTGGCTTCCTCTACCCCCGCTCCTGACCTGGAAGTCCCAGTATCGACCAACTGCAGTGCCTTACTTACCTTCCTTCCTTCCCTGGTCCCTCTGTATTCAAGCCTTACTCTCTCCTATGTACCTGAATTCACCCTCTGCCCACATTTCTTTATAAAAATTTCCCCAATTAACATGGAGTAAAAATCGTCTGCTTCATATAGCTTCAAGGACAAAAAGTAGAAAGAAAAGAGAAATAGAGGATTTCATCACAATCAATAATAATTTTCATTTATAGTCCTGAACTTTTGTCACATGGGGATCTGGAAGATTTCCTTGCTCCTTCCATGCTTTTTCATGAGTTTTCTGCATTCTGTGATTAGGCATGTTATCCTGAGCTGGGACAAAGCCTGCAATACATGGCAGTCCCCTACATCTTTGTTTCTCAAGGACGAACACATAAGTCCCTTTGCAACATGGGACATAGAAAGGGGACAATAAGTATAAGAAATGCAGGTCAGTTGTAAGGATGTAATGCCTTTAAAATGTTTCTAATTATGTTCTTTGGTCTCTTTTTCTCTGATTTTTTTTAAAGAATCTAAACTTGGGAACTTTTTATAATTTTTTAAAGTTCATTGAGTCCAAAGAGAAAGATTTGTTGTTCCACTTATTTATGCATTCATTGGTTGCTTCTTGTATGTGCCCTGACCAGGAATCAAACTGGCAATCTTGGAGTATCGAGGTGACACTCCAGCCAACTGAACTACATAGCCAGGACAAACTTGGGTACTCCTT